AATTAACACCAGGTAGCTGCAGCAACTTATTTCTAATCACACTAAACAGAAGTTTTCACAGTTAAGTGTCTCAACATAAAACTTTGAGATGCTCAACAACTTCAAGGCAATTTATCACAACTAAAAGAGATATTAAACATTTAAACACACCACTAACACATCTGTACTGCACCACTTTTATATAACTGAAGTGTTCACATGCAACCAGCTACATGTAAAGAGCTTTTCTGGCCCCTTACCACGTAGAAGTCCAGTCCGTAGATGCCGATGCTGGGGTCGTACTTGATGCCCAGATCGATGTGCTCCTGGATACCGAAGCCGAAGTTTCCGGTATCAGAGAAGTTGTTCTTTCTCAGCTCGTACTCACGAACCTGGAAGCAGCAGAGCGACGCCTCTTTAGCCACGAAGCAACAACACGTTCACAGCATATCGTCATTCCCCTCTTCAGTTAATCACGCAGCTTTAGTGCTTAAGAGCCTTTATACACTATCTATGTAGTTTGTCCACCTGTCGGTTATGTAATAAGTCAGTGTGTTTTGTGCTGCTTGTTGTTAAACCTGCAGCATATAAAAGATGCTTTAAAGTCCATTTAACTGCTGTTTTATAAACACACTGTAATTAATGCCGTTACCATTATTGTTATACATTTAGTCTCAGTTTAAGATCACTTAATCTAGTTCTATTTTCTGTGTGTTGTGTTCAGGTGAACGTCTCCATCTGTGTTTCCCTGCAGATAATCTGTCACTTTTCAGACTAAAACCAGACAAGAGGAGCAGTCTGCTTGTGTTTAAATGTTTTTAGATCATTATGAAACCACGCCGGGCCACCAGTTAAAGTAATTAATGGGAAACACTTAATTTACTGTCATAATAAAATGTGCTTTACTTCAACAGACCAGCATCTCCTTCAACTTCCCCTCATATCTCTCCAATTCTTTTATTCTGAAATACTGAACAGCCCTTCCAACTAAACAAATTAAAACCAATCTCAGAACTCTTAACATAAACTCCCTCACACACATTAAAGTCCCGGCAGAAACCACTGAACTTAAGAGGAATTAAAACATCTCGACTCTCTAACCTTGAGTCCTTTCTCCAGGATCTCCTCCGCTTTGGCTCCACGGACGGTACAATGGACAGCAATCTTTTCATTCCTGCGGATACCGAAGGATCGCACAGTGTAGCGGGCTGCGAGAGGAGAGAGAAATAAAGTTAAATACAGTTTCTGTGACCAGTTTAACAACCTCCACCTTCCGGCGCAGCTCGACGTCCACAGACGCTTCCACGGCTCAAAGCGTGAGCGCCGCAGACGAACGCTCACCCTTGGAGAAGACGGGAGTTTGACCCGTGAGCTGCTCCAGCACTTTGGCAGCGCGGGTCAGTCTGTCTCCGCTCTCGCCGACGCAGATGTTCAGGCAGAGCTTGCGGATGCGAAGCTCTCTCATGGGGTTCTCCTTCTTCTCACCCTGGTCCTGCAAAAACATCCACTCGTCAACGCATTGCAAAAATCAACATCGATTCGTTAAATTTATCCAAAATCTGTGTGACGTGAAGTCGCCGTGCCGAAGCTTTTAAAGTCAACAGCAGGTTCTCTAATGAACTCTTCGTGTACTTCTACTTGTTACTGAATTATCGAAGCATTTAAAGCAACATCGACTCGAAACGGTTTAGTTTCTGAAGGTTTTCCAGCCGCAGGAACAACAATAAAGTCAGTAAACACAAACAGAAACTGAAGCGGACTCCTGGTTATCTGCTGCCACGTTGAGCTCAGCTTCACAAACCTTCACAGTGAAGCTGAGCTCGAGTTTAACGTCCAGACTTTATTAATTCATCTGGATCTAACCCGTCCTGCCCTCAGACACAGACACATGGAGGAGAACATGTCCGTACATATTCCCCGCGGTGTCTCCTGTTAGCTGCACATCTTTTAAAACGTTTAAACTTTAACAAAAAACTTCTAACACATCTGATAAAACCTGACATATAAAGACAGGCGCTGCTACTGGAGGGTTAGACCTGAACACACAACTGTAACTTCGTATTTAAAGATTATAAATATATAAAAGTAAACGGAGCGCAGCTAGTTCGTTAGCAGCATTCGGCGTTTTCCGTTTTAATCGTCTTTTATCGCTTTTATTAATAAAATAAGACTCTGCTTTAATCCTCCGTAATGTAGTCTGAGTGTCTGCGCGGTGAACGGCGGTCAGGATGCCGCCGCGGCGCCGATGATTGAGGATTTCTGCTCCAACTTTGCGTTTGATCGGTGTGAGAGAGTACTCACCGCCATGTTGGATCACTACAAGAGGACGGGACGCTTCCGGCGAAAGGAATTTATAGACCAGTGTTCACCGCAAATAGGTCCGGGTAAACAGCAGGGTTGGCGGCGCGACAGTTCCGGTTTATGAACTAAACTAGATATATAGATTCAGAGATACTTTAATAATCCCAGAGGGAA